ACAATGTCAGAGAAACTCTTCATAGCAGCTCCAACAATGTAATTAATATATGGAGATTTTAATTTGTCAATGAATAGAGTGATGAACTCTCTTTCAGTCATCATTGGGTGCACTTGAGATACAACATCCCTCCATCGTTGTGCGTATTTTTTGGAAGCTTTCATCACTCATCATATCCATATTCTGAAGCGTTGTTCGATCAGGGGCCATATCGATCATGTGCTTGTATTGACTCAGAAAGGCACTAGCCAAATCCTTCCAAGAGAGGATTTGAGTATGACTCAGTTGATTGTACCACCTTGAAGCAGGTCCAATTAAACTGGCTTGGAAGCAGTGAATCAACATCTGATCATTGTTTGTGTACCCAGTCATTCTTCGAATAAACATCATGAGATGGGCATTAGGGCAACTGGTTCCACTGTATTTTCCAAAATCGGGCATCTTGAATTTGGGCGGAAGCACCAAGTTAGGAACTAGTACTAATTCTGTTGCATCCATTCTGTAGTGAGAGATCTGTCATCTCATTCCCTGGAATGTCTCTCTACACCATTGTTTCAGATTCTCTGGGATCTCGTTATTGACTCTTTTCATCTTATCAGGATTTGACATGTTGTGATTAGTAGAATTACCCTGAGGATTTATCATATTTGTACGAGCTTTAGGGGCTGAGAAGCTTACTTGGAAACTTGTGGGGTGAAATAATTATTTGGGGACTAGCATGGGCTATCACACATTGGGAGGTTCCTCTAGTCGAGGAAATCTTCTCTTTGCCTCTTTCTTGGTGGAGCCCAACCAATTTTTCTACCATTTGATCTATTAGGTCACTTTGATTTTGCAAGATACGATCCATGGTGGCCTTTTGTACCTGCTCTATTTTAACTTCCCACTCTGCTTGTATCTTTTGCAAATTCTCTTCAAATTCTTTCTTCAGTTGCTCAAATTTTGCATCCATTCTCAGTACTGTGTGGATGCAGTTGCACAGTTAGAGAAACTTCCTCAAAGTCACCACAAGATATGATTAATGCATGTAAAAATACTTAAATGGATGCCATGCAAATGCAATGATGCAAAATGCAAATGCAAAAATGTTGATCCCAACGATGAATATTTTAGAACAATTTTTACCAGAGATAAAAGCTTTCACATTACAAGACAGTCGACTTTACAGGCATGCCTTTGCTTAGATTGAGTTTTAAGTGGATCAATGCTTCATCTTAGATTTTCATCCTCAAAAATGATGCCACTTAAACGTTCTGCGACCTAACTCGGTTGATGCCCCTGCAGTGCTGAAGTCGGTGCGTCACTCCTTGATGACTGGCGATAAAATGATTATAAATGAGAATCGCTAGATTACTTTTTGGCTCAATGGATCATCATTTCAGTCTCGAAGGTTGCACGATCTTCGAGCTCATTTCTTCGTCTTATATCTTCGTATGTAGAAATGATTCCCCTCAATTTTCTGTAAACTAACTCTGTTAATGCTTCGGCGGTGCTTGCGTCGATCCTTGATGACTAGAGATGACATGTTTGTAGATAAGACTTCACTGCTTGATTACTCCTCGAATCAATGGATCATTATTTTAGTTTCGAATGATGCACGATCTTCGAGCCAGTCTCATTTTGGTACTCTGAACTTCTTTAAGCCCTCGATACATGTCTTTATATGTGACTGCTTGATTGAAAACTTTGATCTCTTCTTGAGAAAATTTTCCCTCGAATATTCCCTTGCGAATCAATAATTTTTCATTATGATGATGCAATGTAATAAAAAATGATAACAAAATGACACAAACAAAAAAGAAGAAATAAATTAGTGCACACAAACAAAATAAATTAGTTAGCACAGGTAAGACAATATATATACATAAAAATGTTATTCAAAGATGAATATAACACCTACCCTGTCATGATATCTACCCGAACATGTTTTAATTAAATAGCATTCCTGCCCGGACATGATATCTACCCAAAAAGATTTTTTGAGAAATTAATCCTAACCGCATAGTATCTAGTTCGCATGCAATTATTTAACAAAATTTAAAGCAAAAAGGAAAGGTTCAAAAATAATCCTCCTTTGTGTATACCTAATTTGGGTATTTACTGACGGACAGAGGTTTGGTATATCTATATCTAGGGTGATCGTTCTACGGTTCATTATATGCATGGTTTAGGCTCTAACAGGAAAAGGGAAATTGAATTGTCCTTAATGTCGGTGCCCCCTTGGGCTGCCAGACCCTCGATCCTCACCCATTACAGGTTTCAAGCGGAACGAGTTCAATTCGAGGGGATTCACTACCTTATACCCATACGAGGAATAAATTCTTACGAAGGTATAAAGTGTGTATCCCATGGGTTACTTGCTAAAACTCATATGAAGAATAAATTCTTACGAGAGTAAAGCAATCACCCTAACTAATTTGGATCGAAGCTCGTGTCTAGAGCTCATGTTATGCAAATGCAAGTGATGTGTGTGAGGAGAAACGTACCTTACCTTTGACTCAAAAACGAAAAAAAAGATAAAACTAGACAAAACTTGGATCAATCTGAAAGAAAAAATTCAAATGTTAGTATGACAACTAAAAATTAAGCAATTAAAAACTTCAATAAAAGGATCATAGATTAACTAAAGACTCGAACTCATAAATTTGACCACAATGACAATGTGTAAGCGACCTACAGCTTGACTCTCTACAAAAAAGTCCCCAACGGAGTCGCCAAGCTGTCATAACCATTTATTTAGAAAACAATTAAAATATTATTTGAAAAACGATTATGACTTTAATTTGGAAAAATGGATATTTTGGATTAATTTGACTTATATTAATAAGAGTCGCCATCGATCTTTGGGTTATGTAGGTCGAATACCTAAAAACGTCTTTTAAAACAATTTTAAGAAAAATCATTTTTAAGACAAAATTCGGTCTGGGTTACCAAAGATTCATTTAAATGGATTTGGGAGTCGGTTACGTGCGGGGAAGGATGAGCACCCCCACAGCGCCCAAAATTGGTACTGTGTCGCTTACACATCGTCGTAAATGGTGAAAATTACGAGTCAAATATAAAGTTAAAATATGATCCGTTTATTGAACGTTAATTAATTTGCTTCGAATTAACAATTTAAAGAAAATCCTTTAACTCGATAAAAAATCTTGAAATTTGCAATCCTCCGTAGGGAAAGCTTTTTCAACCATTTTTTATTGTTAAAGAATATTCAATCATCGGATATGTAAGAGATGCATATCGATTATAAATTGAAAAAAAGACAATTGCGAAAAATAAAATACATAACTTGCATAGTTCAGTGTAAAATAAAAATGAATTAACAATTAACAAACTAAAATTGACTTATTTCAAGTTTACATTTTGTTAAAATGCCGTATCAGATCGCATCACTTCGACCAAGTGAAACTTTCCACGCTCATTCTACAAATCAATGTTCTTGAAAAAACATTCGAATAACATACTACTAAATAAGGAAATAAGATAAGAATAAATACAATTAAATGTACAAATAAAATATGTACAAAACACAAATCAAATAACATTCACTTAACATACTACATGAAAATATATAATATTCGAAATATATATATTTGCTTAAAGGACTAAAACGAAACAATAAAACATTACTCATCGAAATATAAATAACCATATAAACTCATTTGAAAATTTAAAGGACCAAATTTGTAATAACAGAAACTTGAAGAGCTAAATAATAAATACAAATAAACATATCCGTAATTATAATACAATAAATAATATAGGTACCAGAAACAAGAATAACCCGAAATTAAAGTTAAGGACTAAAATATAATGAAATTAAAATAAATAGGCCACAATCAATATTTAAACCAAAATACAGCAGTAGTGATCAAAATAAAAATTTCATAAATACTGAGTACAATGTATAAATTTACAAAATAGTAACCATAAACAGCTCAGTGACCGAGATGCAAACTTTAAAAACATAGTGCACGAAATACAAAAATGAATAAACTACAAAAAGTGACCAAAACGTAAATGTAACATAATTCAAATCTTAAATAAATTATGCAAAAGTTCCATCTGATGACTAAAATGAAAAGAGTACAAAATCAACAATCAAAAAGCTAAACAAATAAACATACATAATATTAAACAGATAGGACTAAAATGAAATATATAACATATACACAGTTCGAAATAAAGAGATGAAATTTCATTAAATGGCCAAAAAATAAATATTACAAGGCTAGATGGACCTAAATTGATATTATACCATTTCCCAAAACGCTCAGCCCCTCTTGGTAAAACGGCTTCGTCCTGATGCTATGATATAAACCCCCTTTAAGGGTTTTTATTAAAACCCTAAACCATTTTTTACTCTCAGCCGTTTCCTCTCTCATTCTAAAGGGAGAGAACCAGAGAACCCTCCTCAAGGCTCACCGCCGTTCGACGCAAACGGCCCAAAGTCTGGCCATTTTCAACGCCGTTCAAACCCTGCTTAGAACCACATATCATTCCTCACATTCCCCTCGGGTTTGGATGTCAGTGGTTGCTAAAGGGAGGAGGTAAGTATTTTCTTTCCATATTTTTCCTCTTCGGTTTTAATGTTTTTCTCTTCTCTCTTTTTTTGTTCTATCTCTAAACTAGTCTCTCCCCCCATCCTCCCCCTTTCTTTTCTTTATTTTGGAAACCCCTCTCGGTTTTTTCCTTTTTTTCTGTAAAACTCTCGAATGCCCTATCTCCTCTGTCTTCATTTCTTTTTGTTGATGCATGTTGATTGATGATGCTAGCGTAGGGGTATGGCTTCATCTGATTTAGGTGGTTAAATCCCAGATTTTCGGGATTATCTGGATTTTTTATTTGGGATTTAGATATGATATCTTTTGACTAATTTGGGGTTACTGTTGTGCAGACGGTCGGTATCAGAGGCTATCGGGAGTGAGGCTCGGCTGGAAGTCGAAGAGTCAAGCGGCAGCGGTTGGAATTGATGAACAGAAACCCTAAAAAATTTAGGGTTAAGTCATGAACCGGTTCGGGTTTCCTTTGGGCCAGTTTGGGTTCTGTGTTGCTGTGCGGGTCACTGTTGGGCTTGTAGTTGTCTTTGTGGGCTTGAGCTGTAATTGGGCTTCAGGTTTGGGCCTCGGGATTGGCCTGCAAAAAAAATAAATTGAAAATTGAAAATAAATAAAATATAATAATAATAATAATAATAATAATAAATAAAAAAGAAGATCCGGACAAAAACAAGTGTCTACAACTACGAAACTGAAAGCATTGTTTTAAGAAAATTGGAAGCACATGAGTGTGGCCTGGTTTGTCTGATGTCCGTACAACACCCCATTGTCTGGTAAGTGCATTGAGTAGTGATGACTTCCCAGCATTTGACCTACCTATCAAGGGCAATAAAGATGTATTATTCTTAACATGAATATATGTAGATAAGATTTTAGAGACTACAACAAGTTCTCATATGGGACATCGAAACAAAAATGAGCAGACAGCAAGCAAAGTGTCAAACCAGCTTAACGTGCTAATAAGATAATCCCATCTCTTAGAAAACTCGTTAACATTGGACTACGAAAGAAAGTACATATACAGAGAAGAACAAAAGGTTAATCCAGCTGTTTCATCATAAGCTCCCAAGACTATTGAAAAGAGTACAGATACAGAGAGCATAGTCGCGCACAACTTTCCCATTTGATACTCGCAACAAGCATAGAGTGAGAATTATACTCTTTCAAAGGGTATATGTAACATTAGAACGTTATACTGACAATACGAACACTTTTGAAGCCATCAACATTGAAAGTGTACACTGTACAGTAACCAGAAAAAGGAAACCTAAAATAAAACCAACAAATGTGAAGGAAAGAATGGAAAATATCAGGTATCAACCTGCAAATGCAATCTCTGGAATATCAGGCGGGGGAAATGACGATGAAACCTTTGCGACGGCGAAAAACTGCAACTTGTTCCTAAATATCTGCAAAAGAAAATTGGCCTATAGATGAACACAGCAGAAAAATGAGTAGCTTTTAGCTAATTAATACATTAATAATAAAAACACACGCACATTTTCCTTAATGCGTTCCCTTTCAGGATTGGTAGAGAAAGGGATATTGTCTAACGGGGCAGAAAGCTCAGTGTTATAGCCTGCTCTTTGGATCTCAATAGTGCCTCTACGCCCTAACAACTGTAAATGGTATTCAAAAGTCTGGATGCAGAATCAACAAAAAAAGATGTGAATTTAAAGTCCAGACATCTCAAGGCACTTGGCGTACAAATTACATTATCGTCCTCAAAGGAAAGGATGGAGGGACTCGGCTGTATTCCACGGAACTGAGCATTCTTTGACATGGGAGCATTTTCCTTCAAATCTTTTTTCTTATCCTTCTTACATTTTGAAGAGGATAAAGAAACAGCAAAAATAAAAGAAGTTAAGACAAAAGAAAATCCACTTCAAACAAGTACAATTAGAAGAAGGTGCAAATACTGACCATTAGTGCCGTCATCAAGCCTCTTGTTTGAAGTATCATACGGATCTAAGCGAATTCTCTTCTTCTTCTTGGGCTTATAATCTACAACTTCTGAATCAGTTTTAAGGCTTTTTAACCCGAACTATTTTTTTAGTTGAGTTGGCTCTGGCATTAGAATTGGCATATTTCTTTGATGAATCATTTGGAGCACTACCCATTTCAGCTTCCTCTTTCGCACTTCTTCTGGCATTCTTAGGGTTACGAGAAGCAGCTTTACCGTATTAGTAACATACTCTAACGGGGGAGAAGCTTTGACATTGCCTTTTCTCCCTTTGTTCAAGTTACTCTTGACCATCTTCGAGTGTTTTCCAAACGAAGTCTTCGTCTTGGTTGACTCTAAATTCTTATCAATCTTAAATGAAACTAATTGATGAGAATCAACTCGCTTTCTTCTCCCATCATCTGCACCCTTGAGCTTTCTACTATTAGAGTTAGGGATGGTAAAATAACTCGAACCCGACGGGAAAAATCGAAAATCGAATTAAACGGGTCGGGTTCGGGATGATAAACGGGGACGGGAAAAAATTGTTTATGCTAAATGGAGACGAGGACGGATTTGATAATCACCGCCCCGATTACTCAATTACCCGGCCCGATAAATATTAAAAATAATTATTATATATATATAATATTAATAAATTTAATTTAATTTAAAAAAATATATAATATTTATATATTTAATTTAAATATATATACCCGGCCCGATACCCGTTTAAATAATCGTTTATACTAAACGAGATACCTGTTTATGCTAAACGGAGATACCCGTTTTCCCGCAATTTCCCCCGATTATCCGATGGGAATCGCCATTTAAATCCCCGCGGTTTTTTAAACGGAGACTGGTACGGGTTTTTTAAACGGTGACGGCGACAAGGGGACCAATGCTCAGCCCGAACCCGATCCGTTGTCATCCCTAATTAGAGTTGCTCTTCCCTAGAGTAACACCACCCTTTTCAACACTAGGTTTAGTGCCTTCCTTGATAATGTAATTCTTAGGTTTCCCCACGGAAATCTTTGGTTTTTTATTGTGCTTAAGATTTAAGCTTGCCTTTCCAGACATTCTCAACTTCCCAGTTCACCGGAACAGAAGAAAAAGAAAGCACAGTCCTAGGAACAAAAAACAATAAAAAAACAATATCTTCCCTAAAGAAAAAATTTCTTCAGTTTCAAACCTCCATGAACGGCTCGGTTAGCCTTTACCGCTTTCTATATTTTTGGGTTTTGTTCTCCTTCATGGTGATTCTGCCGTAATTTGAAGTTGAAGATTTGAGAGTAAATTGGGCCAGATATTGTTCCTGCATAAATGAATAGACCCACAAAATTTTCCTGGGCTTTTTCGGCCTAATAGGTCCATTAGAATAATATTTTAGGGATTTACCCATCATCCAATATTACGAAGGGATATACGGCATTTGCTTAAGTATTAGGTGAACTAGTGACCTCGATGCGATTGGTTTCACAAAATATTATTTTTTATTAGATTAGGATGAATGGCTCTCATATAGTCGGATAATTTATTATTTTTACCGTGACTCGTCACGTCGAGATGACGAGTTCGTTTTAAAAATATTTTTTGATTATTGAAAAAAATAAAATTAGAAAAACTAATTGTTGGTCAAATGGGCAGTTCTTTAACGGTCACAAAAGAACTCGTCACCTCCCTCGGTTAAATTTTAAAAAAATAAAAAAATAAAAAAATAATAATAATTTTTATTAAAAGAATATTATTTATAAACTAATAAAATTTATTTATATTTTCTAAGTTCTTGACGAGTTTACTAACGACTAGTTTTTTGAATTTGAATTCCCCATTTTTAAATTTCTATTTTTAAAATTATTTTTTCAATAATTAAAAAATATTTTTAAATGGGCTCATCATCTCGACGTGACGATATCCAATAAAAAAATAATTTATTGACCTACTTGGGACCCATTCATTCGGGTTCATTAAAAAATTATTTTTCGTGGAACTCATCACCTTGAAATAACGAGTTCCACCTAACACGGTAACAAATACCCTAGATCTATAAATAATATTAGATGATGGTTAAATCCCTAAATTTTTGTTATAATGGCCCTATTGGAAAAAAAACTTTTTCCTGTAACTGTGGCCATTCAGTGTGTATATATTAGAGAAAATAATTTTAGTGATCGAAAATGCCTTATAATATACTATTTTAACAAACTTTTTTTGGATTTGCGAAAATGACCAATAAATTCGTAACGCGAACTCCAATTTCGCAACTCAGTTTCCAAATTCGTAACGCGAATATGTAAATCGCATTGTGATTTTCCGAATTCGCGTTGCAATTTTCCAAATTCGCAACACAGAAATCAAATTCGCAAAGCACGTATATTTTCGCAACGCGAATTTTATTTTCGAATTCGAAACACAATATTAATTTCGCAACAAAAATGTAAACAGTATAATCGTAAATCATAACCTAAAACCCTAAATCATAACTCAATCCTATCTCCATCTCTCACTCTCTACGGCGGAATCCGTCCCCATCTCCGACGAAATCCGTCCCTATCTCCGACGAAATTCGTCTATCTCCATCTCTCAGAGCCACCCTCACAACCATTCACGGTCACAAATGGAAAATCAATCACCGAGGGTTAGTTTTTTAAAATTATTTTTATTTTGAAATTTTTGTATTATTATTAGATTTTTCATATTTAAATTGATGATAAATTTACTGGTAATTTCAATAATAGATTAACCATTTCACTTAGATTGCTTAGTAAATTCATTTAGTTGCTGCCAATACTGCTAAACTGTTTAGTCTTTAACCCTGTGAAGTTAGTATTTGTCTTTGTTTTGTCTTTTGGTTGAAGTAATGCAATTCATTCAAGTTTCAATTTGCAGAAGAATAGTTTTTGAAACTTAAATTCGCAACACGAAAATGGAAATCGCAACGCGATTTTAGTTTTGCGTTGCGATTTTCATTTTCGCGTTGCGATTTTCATTTTCGCGTTGCAATTTTAAGTTTCAGAAACTACTATTCTTCTGCAAATTGAAACTTGAATGAATTGCATTACTTCAACCAAAAAACAAAGACAAATACTAACTTCACAGTGTTGTGAATTTAAGTTTCAAGAATAAACTACTACTCTTTATGTTGTCCTTGAACCTGCACTAAACCTATATGTTTTCCTTTTAAATGTTTATATAAGTTCTTACTTCTGGAATGTTATCTGATATATTTTGTGAATTATGATAGAATAATGACTTGGGTGAATACCGTGCTAGTTTGAAACATATTTGGCTTTGTTTTCACTGTTTAATATCATGTCTGTTTATAGTGTATAATTTGTAGTTTTTGGTATATTTAACTTGGTATGTTTATTGTTTTTGTTAGAAATTTTTTTTGGCTTCATTGACTCTAAGGAATAAAGTAAGCCTAGCCACTACAATTGAGTCGACACTTATACTTGTACAAAGAAAATTGTTTGAGGATACTTGCTTCGGGCTATGGCTGAAAGTACAACATCCAGGTGGAGATGCTATGTTGACCCATTTTTTTTTTCAGACCATGATTAACGATCTATCCGAGGGGATACAACGTGGTGATGAAAAGATATGGTTTCATTTTCCACCGGCGTATACTTGTTTTGGGCGGGAGGGGTTTTGCTTAATCACTGATCTACGCTTCGGACACGATGAAGTAGGTCGGTACACTAGTCATATCGCCAGCCCATCATGGTTATCTTGAGTTTTTCCTGAGCTGGCAAAGGCGAAGCCTAGTTTACACGTCGACAACTTGAAAAGATTACTTGTTAAAGATGGTTTTACTCGGATGGTTGACCTCGATGTTGTCCGAGTATGCCTTTTATACTTTTTCATGCCGACATTTTAGGCAAAGAGGCCAGACAACTATTTTGAGGACCTAATATTATTAGTAGAGGACCTAAATGCATGGAACGTGTTTCCATGGGGTTCATATCTATGGGAAGCTACCTGGAAAAAGTTGTCGGCTGCCTTTGAGGACCGAAAAGTTTGCGTGGCCATGGTTCCAAATACACTTTGGCAGGCTTTATTTGGGCCTTTAAGGTAAGAATTTCTATATAATGTTTCTAAAATTATAATTAATTATTTAATAATTACTAATGTTTGTGTATTATATTGTTTGTAGATTTGAATATTTGAGGCTTTTTCCAGCATGCGGACATATGCAATCAAAAATTTAAATGATATTCCTAGGGCTATTTCCTGGAGGAGGATCCAGCTGTTGGATTGGGAAGAGTTACTACCATATACGACGATGAATGATGTAAGTTAACACAAATACTACCATATATAAACAAGTTATTACTAGTAGACGTTTAACTTTGTTTGAGCTTTTATATTGTTAGGAGGCCAATTATCTATTATAGAGGTTGATACCTACAGAGGCTGAGCTTGCCACTGATTGGTGGCAAGCTAGTAAGCGGTTTTTTGATGGCACGGATGATGAGTACCCCCCACTTCGAGAGCCATCACCTAATCGAGCCGATTATGCACCTCCACAACGAGAGCCATCACTTATTCCATCACATCATCGAGCCTCTTCTCCACCATCACCTCATGATAAGCGATCGAAAAAGATGCCACGATATTTATCTCCCTGTTCTCCACCTTCACGGGATGAGTTAGGGGAGTTACGTGATGAGGTCAGTGCTTTGCGTGAGGAGGTTGGTACTTTACGTGATGACAATGGTGCATGGCGTGATGAGGAACGGTCTTTACGTGGTGAGGTAGAGGTTTTACACGATGACAATAGTGCTTTACGTGGTGAGGTATCTACTTTACGTGATGAGGTAGCTGCTCTACGTAAGATTGTTGCATCGTTATAGAATGAGGTTCATACTCTACACAATGAGGTAAGTTTGTTTAATACTATACTAAAAATACAAATAACCTTTTTTCGACATTATTTATTTGTTTATTTACTGATTTATATATTAATTTATTTTTAGCGTCCCGATAAGGTAGATGCTTTATGTCGGGTTTTTCTTGTACGACGGGGTTCACGCATCAGACGTCGTGCACGTTCCATTACGTCTCCTTTCACCCCAATACTTCTAAGACTCCGTAAGAAGAAGCCCAATTCACCTGTCATCGTTCAAGAGGCCCCCTATCTTTCAAGAGGACCCTCCCACCATTCAAGAGGCCCCTCTCATCGTTCAAGAGGCCCCTCCCACCGTTCAAGAGCCTGATCCATATGGCATATTATGTCGACATATTGATAAACCTCCTCACGTGCCCGATATGATGGATTCGAGTTGGCTTTCGTATCAGTTACCGGTCAGTAC